GAATTTGCACGGACGGCGCTGTTATAAGCGAAAAAAGTCTTGCGTGAATTTTGAATAACCCAGTACTCTTGTTATCCATGTTAACAATTGAATTCAATTTTACAGTTGTTTATTTGCATTCCTTTTAGAATCATGTGATTTTTTTGGTAAAGAAATGCCTTACTCGTATAATGATAGACTGAAAGAGTCAATAGTCAACACTGGCACCATTTCAGCTTCACGAATAGTAAACATTGATGTTTTTTTCAATCAAAATGAAACAACTGCGTATGTTACGTTCAATAATTTGCCTCCATTAAAAAGTAAGTATTGATTTATTTTCATAGATTTATTGCTGATTAATCTGTTTCTCATTGAATAATTCTAGATGTTTTTCGTAATGAATCCATTTCTGTTGCTAAAAAGGTTCTGAAAAAGTCATTAGAGGTATCAGTTGGAAGCTCAGATGAATGTCTTCACTTGTATACCAAAAGGGCCACGACTTTTGAGTAAGTATTGCATGTGATTGAATGAACTATATTGTACCTCATGAATTTTCCCATCAATTAGAGGAGTCGCATTTTGTGAAAACAAAATTTGCGCTTCAATCGATAAAATAAATGACCTGGTCGAGGATAAAGTGGATGGTTATGATTGCGAGATTTTTTATGTTCCATTGAAGAACTTGAATCGCTACGACCGAGAATTGAGTTCCGATGCAATACAAAGTGGTCTGATCAGTAGAGGCCTGAGCTTCAGTCTATACAATGGTGCGTCACTTGCTCAGTATACAATTGCCTCAATCACAAAGGTATCAAATGAGATTGAGAAACTGTTCAGTCCACTTTATACTGGTTATAAATTGCCTGGAACCAATATCAAGGTACAGTTGGTCAGAGAAGCTAAAATTTGGGTGATTGCTATCATGCTTGTGCCAAGTCTGATGGATGTCAAACATTCTCAGTTTGTCCATATCCTGGTGAATTTGATTGCCTTGTTTCAACCTTTGACTCTGCAATGCTTTCACAGATTTACTCTCACCAGATGAATCATGTACAGTTTACAGAAGAGATTTAGTCCACAACTATAATCCGATATTCAACAGGAGATACAAAGATTCAGGTTCAATTGTAGCTGATACTCATCTCGATAATTGTGCACTTCTCTGTCATCAATCAAGTGAATGTTATTCGTTTCAATTCTGTCAGGGACAGTGTTCATTCGCTGGAATCTACACTGACTCAGCTACAGAATATCATCAGAACTGTAGCGTATATATTCGTGAGTAGTCTTTACGTCATCAATGAGTCTGTTTAGACTATTAATCTATTTGTGATTAACTTTACCATTCTCTTGTATAGCCAAAGTATCTGATAAATTCATATATACTGGTCATAAGATTGTCTCTGAAACTCATCACACTGAATTAAACCTGACAATGGACCAATGTGCAGCACTTTGTGACGCTTGGAAAGCCGGTAATGAACCATGTCTATCATTCAACTATTGTCCAGAGGGAAAAACGGAAAGTGTATGCAGTCTTTCAAAATCTTCGGCGAAAAATCCATCAACACGATCTGTTGTGTCTGAAAAATGTACCAATTACGAATATAAAGATGCTGAGAAATTGGATTCCAACCCGAAAATGGATCAGGTGAAGGGTACAAGTGGAGAAGCAGCTCTTGGTATCATAACACTGTTCATGATGGTTGGTCTTGTTGCTGGAATCACGACTCCAATTGCTTATAGAAAGATAAAAACGTTTAAGATCCTAGATACATCATTCAAAATAGATCATTCATTGGATGAGGAGTGATTAATTAAAGAAAAATTAGGTTTCACTCCAATAAAATGAACAGCTTCAACACTTACAAGATTTTCTGATACAATATCAATTGATTAGTAAAAATGTACAATAAACACAAAATACGAGTCCTTAGCTGGCTGATCCAGTGAATCACTAAATAAACAAGACTGACTGACAACTGTGAGTCGACTGGTTGTTAAGTTAAACCTAAAATTAGCCTTCTTTTTGTATTGTATTTTTCATTGAAATTTTTTTGTTTTATTTTTTACCCACCACAATTATACAATCAAAGTTCTACTTCCAATTGCCAATTTTAAAGATTAAAAGTTTTTACTACTTTACGGTGTTTATATGTTCAAGTTTTCATGAGCATATTGTTTGGTTATCAATCTGCGCCGATTATCCAGTAAGTGAAATGTAAAATTGACTGAGTCGGTAGAGTCGGCTAGCTGCTAGTTGGGAACGAAATTCAAACACTAATTCAGAGCAAAAAGTGAAGATTTTAAAATCCTTCTTGGATAATTTATAAAATAATTTTCCATTCATGAAGTGACATAATTTAATGGATAATGTTAATCAACCAATTACCTGATGACTGTTTACTCTCGATTTTCCTGTTTGTAGGTGATTTAGACGATACAATCAACTGTTATAAAGGTAAGTTGCTTTTGTTTAAATGCATCATTAAACTGGCCTTAAAAATATAATTATAAACTATTAAGAAGAGGCTACCGACTAGAAATATGAGTTCAGCCAGATAAATCAAACTGATTTGAAATCAAATAATTTAATTTGATGGCTTTAACAAACAAAATAAAGTAACATGGACAACCAAATTTGAAGTTGAAGTTTGATGGTGTAGTAAGGCTTATGAATCGCTAATAATGTCAACCCAATTAGATCATCTCACGTCTTCATATTTACTAATTTTGGTCAAATTTACTCAAACTTTGAGTCTCAAAGAGCTTTCCTTCAATTTAATTTTAAATCTAAATAGGATTAATAAACCCAAATCAGCTGTTAAAAGTCTTGTAACCAATGGAGATAGACTTGCTGCTGGAGTGTGCGCCAAATTTGAATTGAATCATCAGATTTTATTAATAGTTTCTTATATCATTTTATATAATACTTTTGATTTGTCGCTTAGTGTCATTAAGATTGTTTTAATTATATACTAAATTTTTCAGTGTGTGACAGATGGAAGCGGTTAATATCCTATCGGCTGAGTAAAGTCAATTTTCTTGAAGGTAAGTTACCTTATAAAGATATCGATACACTTTGTTTTAATCCAATATTATTATTTTTTTCATCTATTTCAACTTCAGGAGCCTCATCTTCAAGCACAGACAAACATGATTGTCGTATGGATAAAATTTATTTCCATAAAACCGATAAGTTACCAGATATTGATTTATCCCAATTGTTACCTTCACTTAAGGTAAGTAGATTGTCATAATAAACAAGTCAAATACAATGGAAAATTTTCCCATTTTTATTGTAAAGGTTGTTGATCTAGACACACCGTTGTGCAAGAAGTTGGGTCGAGATGAAATAATCAAATTACTGGCAACAGCTGAGTCAATTAAAGGAGCAAATTTTGAACCCAGGAATATGATGCGCCACATGACTCACGATAGCCTAGAAAATTTGGAAATGTTAGCAACATGTGATTTGGATTCTTATTATATTATTGTGCCCGATAATGGAGTCAAGATAAAGCAGCTTGTTCTTAAAGAATATTATGCATTTGATTTTGCTCATCATGCGAGGCACTTTCCGAATCTGAAAAGACTTCGGATTGAGAATTGTGATGGTAATCAGAAATCTACATATTTTTTACATTTTAAACTAATTTACTTTCTTTCATGTGAAGGTTTACCTGATGGATTCTATGAAGGGCCAATTTTGAAAAATCTGGAGATTCTTGAGCTTGGATTATCGTCTTATTATGGTACTGATGAGTATATTGGATTTCGCTTTATGGATTCGTGTCCAGCATTGAGAAGTGCATTCCATTTCATTTCTGAAAATCGTTTTTTTGTTGACATTTCAGTCAAAAACTTCAACATGCAAGATTTAGTTATTCATTATGTAGGTACATTTCAATTTTTCAATGTTATTTCCATAGCAAAAACTAACATTATTATCTTTTTCTTTTTGGTTAGAGCTACGACCAGAATTGGGTTTCCTTAAAGAGGCTGTTGACTAAGTATCCCAATTTAAAGCACCTTGCTTTGAAAAATAATTGCAAGATACAAGATGAACATGTAAAGGAAATGGTGGCCATGTTACCAAAGTTGTGTTTACTTGATTTAAGGGGATCACCCAGAGTCACAAAATATGCTGCTGATTTTGTGGATCAATATTGCCAAAGACACGGCCGAACTATCAAGTTTTATCATTATTTAAAGGATGATCGAATCTATTCAGACTGGCCACAATTATCAACAAAAGTAGAAAGAATAAGTCGAGGATTTGACTTCATGAAACATTGTTTTCTAAAGCAATTTGGTCAAATTCCAGTGTTTATGGTTCCTTACGATTAGAGATATCAATACATTTGATAAACTTCACTATATCAACAGCAATAGACTAAGGAATCACTCAAAATTTTTTAGAAACAGATTCATTGCCTTTTCTTTATGAACATTTTTAGCATCTGATAATTTAAAATCTGTTATCATCAATAGTAACTTTTTCATTTGACAATGAAAGGTTCTGCGGCTAGTAATGACGCAAAATTGTCTTGATTGAATTATTTATTGATATTTTTTATATAAAAAGACAAAAGCAAGATCGATGACTTGATAAAGATCAGTGATCAAGGATCATAAAGAGGACAAAATAATGCTGAAATCAACAATTTAAACCGTTCAAATTATTGATAAAAAATGCCCTTAATGCGATTTTTTGAAAATTTGTTCAATCAATTCAAAAGTTTGTGTTCTTCATCCTTGTATCCGGATGTAGAACCGGACAATTACATCCAATAAAACCTTTATTATCTAATTCGGCTCATTCATATTGATATGATTTGAGCTTTAAAGAGTGAATTTCATTTCTGTATCTTATGTTTGGTTCATCAGTAAATGAAAAGTTACTTTTCTAATTTATTCATGAAATTGGTTGATAATGAATGTAATGTATTTCTAGTGGTGTTAAAAGACCTCGATAACAAGGAATGAAACTCTAATATACTTCTATCGAATCTGATTTAAATAATTAATCAACATTATATTGAGATTCTGGTTCAGGTTACATGAAGACAACTTTCAAAGGTAAAGCAAACAAATGCTGATGGTGAAGGGGTGAGATAGAGAAAGAGAAAAGAAAGGAAAAAAGAAATGGTCAGATTGGCCAAAATGATGAGAAGAATGGCTTGATTAAACGGACTTGAATCACAAGAGATGATTCAGTTGAGTTACCACTTACATGACTTTTTATTTTCATGAGATGCTCATTCAGTTTTCCCATTCAACTCTTCTAATTCACCTTTTCCCAGTCAACCTGACTCCAGAACACACACAATCATTTACATTAACAACCATTACCATTGAAGGGCTGTTCAAGGCATCATCATGTTGAAGGTAAACAGTTGATTGTTAACCTGTTTTACCTGTTAATGTAACTAACTTTGACCATCAATTATGTATCACCATTAGCCAGAAAGGTAAAGCTTGAATCCCATCTTAACCTTAACATTACAATGGTGATGATAGTCTGGATAATTAACACTTTTTTGAAACCAATTTTTTACCTTTTACTTCTCATTACACTTCAATTTGTCAGTTCATATTCAATGAAAAAGTGAAATCTTTTTCTTCTTCTCGCAATCAATTGATTTTAAATTGGCTTTTCCCTTGAATCATTTAATCGATAATTAAGTCAATTTAAAGTGTTTCAATTTTGTCAAAATCGATAGCCTTTAAATAAATAGATTTATTCAATTGAACTTTTCTTCATCTGACTGCATTAAGGTTATATCATCGTTATGATTAAACAATGAAAATGAAAATCCAAGTCTGTATTTGAAGAGAAAGAAAAATTGATTAAATTGTAAAAAACTCTTTAGCTTTTCTCATTTCTTTTTTTCTCAATATTAAATCATTCCATTGAATCACTCCCAAGCATCTAATCTAACATTTATCGAGGATAAAGATAACTTGTATAACAGTTTCAACTCATCAATACTATTAGACAATCATCAAACTTGAATTGATCGCTCAGTTTACATAGACTTTTGTTTTTCTTTCCTTGCTTTTCATTTTCATCCCAAAATCTTATTTTTCCTTCCCTTCTCTTTTGATGAGAAAATTATGTTTCTTGTTGACTCTTTTTTTCCCTCCCTGTGCCTTCAAATATCCTAAATAATGATGACAATCACCATCACTAGCATCATCATCATCATTATTGAAAATTGATTGGAAAAAACCTTTGAGTGAAAAGATCAAGTTGAAAAAGGTTAAACTCTGTCTTGTTTCATCTTGCTCTTTTTTTACCCGATGGTTAAAGAAGCCAAAATGAAATGATGATTGGATTACATGAGAGATAAAAGAAGCGGAAAAGGAATGAAAATGATATTCAAAAATGATATATACAATGAACATTTTCATCACCTTATCAAGGGATAAAATGAACGAGTTTGAGGAGAGGAAAGCAAAAAGTTTAAGAGAATCAAGAAAGAAGAAGAAGACGAAAAGAAGAAGAGAAAAAAATGAGGGAAAAAAAGAGGTTTAACTTTACATTCGATTCGACTGTTATTTTATTATGGTAAAGCATTTCTTGACTCATTGAATTTTACCTGGTTTAACCCTCTCATGAATGTAAAATCAAAGTCAAAATCCGAGTAAATCATGCATCTAACAGGGTAAAAGCATGATAAACAGGAGAGCAGAAAGGTTAAAAAATTCAATACTCTAATGTCTGCAAGTGAAAACAAAAGTAATAGTTATTATAATAGGAAGATGATATGTGTGTAAAAATGGATTGGAAAAAATGGATCTTCTCATTGGTAGTATTATCATTTGCTCAAACATAATTTCAATTTCACCGACTTACCCTTGCACACTCTTGATAAACTTACTTACTGACTCACTTGATGAGATATTCATCTGAACCATAACTAAACCATAAATCATATCTAATCTGATTGCTTCAATTGAGATTGAACAGCTAAAGGTTGAGATTGTAAATGCTGAATAACAAACCAACAGCAGCAGCAGCAGCACAAAAAATAGCAAAATATACAAATGCAACTTTACTTTCAATCCCAAGTTAATCACAAAAATGTTACATCCAAATGTACTAATATTAATTGAAGTATATATTTATTACAAGTTTGTCATTTTATTCCCTTTAATCAGTTTCCCTAATCAACTAATTTATTTAGCCATTGACCTGGCAATAAACGGCACAAACCAGACAAAATAATGATTGACTAAACAGTAAAGTGTTCACTCGCTTCACTTGCAATTGTTGTTTTATTGGGACAAAAACTTATTCTTGGAATCTAATTGAGTGATAAAAATAAAGCAATAACAAAATAAACAAAATTTAAACTTTTTTTTCGCTCTTCTTTTCTTCTTCCCTTTCTGTTCCTTTTGATATCAAAAATTTAAACATTCAATCAAATTGAAAGCATTTTTCGATTGAATCTTTTTTTCATTCCTTCTCATCATTTCAAACTTTTCCTTTACTTTGATTTGTTTCGGTTCATATTTTTTTCCTCCCTGTAATTTTGGCTTTTCTCAATTTGTTATCATTTTGACTGATGAAGACTGAAAACTTTTGCAAACAATTGCAATTCAATATTCAATATTATTTGTGAAATACAATCAAATTGATTCGATTTAACCTTTTCATCAATGAATCAATATGCAATTAGTTGAATTAGCAAATTAAAATTTTCAAGTTTCACATGAAATGGTTCATTGGAAAACATTCAATTTCAAGCTTTTTCTTTACTAACTGTAATTTTAAAATTCAATCTGAATTAAGATACAGTTGTATTGATTGTACAGACGAGCAAGTGAGAGGTGAGACGAGCAAAATATCGATATTGAATTGAACATGATTCCAGGTGAATTGTTTTTTTCGTTTAGTTTTTCTTCTCAATTTTTGATACTTTTCCAAATGCTTTTTGGTCATGGTTAAATAGTTCATTTGAATGTTTATTCGAGTGAATTAAATGAACACTGACATTTCTATCAACTTTTTATCTAATTATCTTAATCACGAAGAATAAGGTTGTGGAAAATTCAGTTTGTTAATGGTAATCATGATACATCTTAGACCTTTTTTGTTCATTCTAATTTTTTTGGCTTCACTTTCATTAATTAAAAGTCATTCAATCTTTTCAGCTCTTTTTTGCTTCTTTATCTCTGCTCATAGGAGATGAATTAAGCATTGAAATATTATTAACAGCAATGATAATGTTGATTAAAATTCATGTGATGGCATGCTCCAGGTTTAAGAACGGAAATGTTTTTTCTGCTTCTACCACTGAACTCCTTCATTTGCATCTTCAGATCAAGTGTTCTTTTGCATGTTGCTGTACCAATTGCAATTGTTCAAATTACAGAATCTCTCTGTTTATTCAATGATTCGTGACTCAATTTGTTCCATTTTTTTCCTTTAGCCTTCCGGATGATTTTTATCCTTGCGGTTTCCAGAGCTTCAATTATCTGCCGATCAAAATTTTTTGATAGAAAAATCTGTAGCAAAAAGTCAAGCATTCATTTACAAAAAGATGTGCGCCATGGAAATCGACCGATTCCTCAATAAAATATTCATAGAGAGTGTTTGCCAAGAAAAATTTCCCGCCGTTCCGAAAATTTGCTATTTTCTAACTTTTTCAATTCTAAATCAAATTCGTTAATTCAGATATTGCAAACAGTTCAAGTTATCGCAACGGAGCTTACCGTATTACCGTTGCTCTACCACTAAAGTGTTGCCTTCTATTTTCCTATGGTTCAGAAACGTGTTTTAAATATTACTTTTCTGTTATCATGGTTTACTGTTCATGCGGTTCATAGCCAATATGCACCATGATAATCATCGAAGAAATCAATGAGACAAAACCCTGTTTATTTTTTTATATCTGTTTTCTTTATCGATCATCTTTTGATCCATTATGTGGCCAAACAGCTTATACATTGCTACAAATAATTTAATCTAATTTACAGAATCGAAAGTATTTCAAAGTTTGAAAAGTGTAGGAGCGAAAAGCATTAGATATAAAGAATCAATCTCTCAAGCAAACAAAGCTAGAAACAAACACTCTCAATGCATCCATTTTTTGCCACAAAAGTTATTTTTCCTCGTAACTTTCCTTCTATCATTGTTTCATTATTTGATCAAAAACAGACAAACGAACAAACAAACAGATATAATAATTCATCAATTTTTACCCATCAAACAGACAAACTTTCAGATAAAATAAAAAAGCAAGAAAAAAAGTAAAAAGGTGTAAAGGTAAAAGTAATAACATCATTCAATGCTAAACTCAAATTATTGGCGCAGATGCTTACAAGTACTCAACGCAACTCTATGAGTGTATTGCATGCAATCTTAACTTTTGTGAATCTTGAATTTCATCATTTCAATTAGTATTTTTAGATTTATCATGCAGGCGATTATGAGCTTTGAAATTTTGTTCAATTTAATTCAATTCAACAAGCTCATGATTTGTTGCCTATTACTACTTGCTTAGTTTTGCATCCAATTGATAGATCTTTTTTATGGAAAAAAATAGTTTCAATGAAAAATATAATCACAATAATACTCTGTGATGTCAGATAATCTCACGATAATTTGTCAAACTCTTGATCAAATCGGTTCCTTCGACAAAATCTTCATCATTATAAGCTGTTCTTCATCCTCAATATCATCATTATACCATGATTGATATCATCATTGAGTTATATTTTGATTATTTGCAAAAGCAGTGAAATCAAGCGCCTGTTCATCACAACTGTCTTCCAAAATTTCACTCCATTCACATGTATGAACAGAATCCGATAGAAAAAGCAATCGATTCAATCAAAATTTCTTCCAATTACACATTCGCCAAAAAGAGACAATCAAGCAGAAAAACTTAGCACCAGTTCATCTACAAAACTTGACACACGAATCTCGACAAGTTTTCAATCGGCGATCATTTAACCACAATGCTTTGGATGAAAAGGACTCCTAAACTATTTCACTGGACACAATAAAAGGAAAACGAAAAAACACATTTTCTCTGTAAAACTAAATTTTGTACCAAAATTATGAGCAATTTTGAATGATAATTAAAATTAATAAAATAAAAGCAAAACTTGATCTCTCGAAGGATTTTCATTGATGTAAACTCTTTTTTTCAACAACTCATAATATTGAGCATTGAATGAATCTTTTTTCATAACCTAACAATTCGACCAAAAAGCAGCATCAACAGTCAAAGTGTATAAAATCGCAATGTTTACTTTTAATAAGCTGTACAATTGAAGAGTGAAATGGTTATGAAGAAAAAGGTTTACATTATAATGGTTGTTGAATGCATAAAGGAAATGTACCAAGTTTAATTGTCTGTGTACATTTGTTGTACATTTTGATTCACTCGGGATCTTTATTGAAAAATGTTTCCCCTGTGAAGGCAAAACATAAGCCAAAATGAATTTAGACCATGAAACAAAGGGAAAGTTAGGTGAACGGAAAGAACACAAAGAACACAAACACAATGAAACTAATTTGCTCATGAAGCGATTCACAAAGTGCAATACTCTTGGATAAGTTTACCTATGAAAACTTTAAAATAACACTAATAATGATCACAACTGAAAAGATGCAATATAACGTTACAACTCAATCAAAGCCTATTGAAATGCTCATCAACAAAATGTTTCTTGTTTTTCACTTTCAACTCATTCATGGGGATTCTTAATTGGACAAGGATCACCTCTTGTTGAGTAAATTCATGCAAAGCAAATGATGAACAAAGAAGTAAACTTTATTAATATCATCATCATCATTATTATTATTACGAGTGGAAAAGGTAAAAATGAAGTCAATTTTTTCTTTCTTTTCGTTTTCTTTCAACTTTATCATTGTGAATAAACAAGGCAAACAACCTTTTTATTGCATTGAAACTGAAAAATGAGAGTTCATCAATTACAGATTCATCTTGTTATATTATTTTTACCTTTTTAACTCTTTATTCCAAGTTCATTTTCAATCGAAGAATCTGTTTTATTTTATTCTCTGCTCTCTCTCTCTCTTCAATTTGCCTTTAACTTCAACTTGCTTATTGTTGCTGAAAATAAAATATTATTCAATATAAAACTCTTTATTTCTCCTCATTTGGATTTTGCTCTTGCAATTACTAAACTTGAAACTTTTCATTCAACTAATAGAACCAATTTAAGATGGAGAAAAATTAGTTTCAAGCAAAACTGTGCAAAATTGAAATGCTACTTCATTGTAGGTTGAAATTCCCAATCCTTTACTTTCAGCATTACACTTGGTTTAAACACGAAACTTTAGATTGCTTCTAGATTGGCCTTTGAGTGGACAAAATTACTGTTAAATATTGACTGATGAAATTGCTCAAAGTAGACTTTAAACAATTTTAAACTCGAAAGAGGTTCACTGAGTTTGATCAGCATTTACTGTGAATTAAATGTAAACTTTGAAGAAACTTGCTTTGAATACTAAAGTATAAATACAAAATTGTTCATTATCAAGCTTTGTTTTCTATTGTTGGGACATGAATATTCAAAGGAGATAAAATAAGAGAAAATCTAATGAGAACTAATGTTGAAACAGAAGAGAAAAAAAACTCAAACAAACTTTTCTCTTTTCTAATTCACCATGAAAATCATGTTACACAATAAATCTCATCAATATCAATTGTTTAGTTTCTTTTGCCTTCTTGCTCTGTGTCAACCGTATTCTCACTCTCATTTCAACTAACAGTTAGACCTTTGAAGGACCATGCACTGGTGAAATTATAATTGAGACAAAGATTTTACCTTGAGGCTTGAAAAAAGCAATAAGAGCAACAAGGAAAGGGAAAAGAGTCGAGAAAAGTTTATAATCAAATTGCTGTTGGTTCTTTCATGTTATCATTAGACGGAATGCAAATGATTCTGTGTGAGCTGAATAAGTCGCTTTAAAAGTGTCTTTCAGTCGCTATTATTGTCATTATAAACTCGCTTTCCTCACTTCATTTTTAAGTTTAAATCAAAACGCTATGCAACAATATATTGATTTTGAGAGCTGAATAAAACAATAAAATCATTCAATGGCTCATTGAAACTCATTTTGCAAAACTCATTTCTAAATTTATGCCATCTTAGCTGATCATGAGGAGATATCGAGTCTTTATTCTTATTTTGATGCTAAGCTTAATTGCAAAATGCTAAACTTGCATTGAAAACTTATTCAATTTAGAGCCACATTAACTTTAAGTTGACTTGAAAGATGAAGACTTTATTATTTACTTTCAGGATTGAGAAGTCATCTAAAATATTTGATTCTTGAAAAATTGTTACCGAAATTTTGTTCTCTAGCTTTTCATCTTTGCTCAACTTACTTTGAAAGTAAACCTTTACAAAAGCCAGCAATTTTTCCATAAAACAGTCATAATTTTTCATGATGGATTCGATGTATCTTATTCGAATGTCCTGAGCATTTTCAAGAAAATCTCTAAATCACGAGCTCTTTCTATCTTGTTTCTTCTCGCTCGTATTCAAAGTCTGTCATTTATCTCTGTTTCTGTTCTGTAACATGATAGATTACAACTTAAAATCTTGAAAATCGATTTGGTTAAAGTTAACTTTGATACAATTCAATCTCTCAAGTTTTTCATGATGCTTTTCATATTCAAATTGTATTGCGCTTTATTTTGCAAGAAAACGAAATAAATTCAAAGAATAACATTGTTTCAAATGCTATTCAAGTTTATTCTCAATTTTTTTCGCTGAAAATTTCAATGCCAAAGTAGAAATTTGATGTGAAAAGTTTATTCCATATTGAATAATGAGTGAATGATATTAAAAGTGATGATAAATGTATCATTTACAATTGAATTGCAAAGTTGAATTCATTTGATTCTCCTATGAATGTTCATTTATAGAAACTTGAAATAACCATGAACAGGGCATGCTTTCGATTCAGGCTCCCTCTGAGTAAATTGTTTAGCTTCTTGTTGGGTCAGGAAAAAGTTTTCACTGCAATGTTTGTAAAGGTTTGACAAGAAAAAAACAAATAAAAAACTATTCATTCATTTGAAGGTGCTAATTAGTTTCGACCAAACTGTTCGCCAAAGTGCAATGGATTATCCAATCAACTGTTGAACACTTGAAAGACATCAACAATAAAATCGTGAATAGTTTGATGAGACCAAATTCAGATTCAAGTTTTACACTTCAAATCATCTAAACTTATTTACTCAACAAATATGTTTATCGTGGAAAGTGATGTTCAGTCAATGAGCTGATACCAATTCCAATTGGAAAATGGATATTGTTCATCTTCAATCTTAACCATGGCTTTTATCACTCCTATAAATTCATACACTCTAATCTTTACAGTTTTAATGCTCATTCAAGGTAAATTCATTTCTCAAAATTCAGTATTATTCTTGCAAGAGTAGCCTTAAAAGTTGAAGAAAGCAATTTGATGCACAAGTTTGCTGCAAAGTTACTTTTGCAAGTTTTCCAAAACTTTTAAATCGTTTTTCTCGAGCTGTTGACAAAAGTATTTCAATAAAGTTTTTTTATTCTTTTCTTCCATCTCTTTTTCTCATTTTGTTCACAATTGTGGTGTTTGATGCACATTCAAGTTTTCGAGACTGTTTTAATAACAGAATTCAAAGTGCCCGAAGTTGTCAACCATGGTTCTGATGTTGAACTTTTGTGTAAATATGACCTGCAAGAGGATGAAGTTTTGTACACAATAAAATGGTACAAAGAAGAGACTGAGTTTTACCGTTATGAACCAAGAGAATGGCGACAAGTTTCATACTTTAAAGTACCTGGAATAAACATTGACGTAAGTTTCAACCTCATCTAATAACCCTTCAAAGAGTGCAAACTTTAACCATTATCCAATTGCAAACTATTAATCAATGACAATTAATAAACGATTACAAATATAAGAAAGTTTCCAACTGAACCATTTGCTATCCTAAATCTTCAAAACAAACCAAAACATCTTCAATAATGAATAAGTCAAAAGTTTGCAAAAGAAAAGCTATTCGCTTTGATACAGTTTCTCTAGTCTTGCTGATCATTTTGCAAAAGTTGCTCGTCTTTCTGTGTTGACCATTTGCATTGCGTCCAAACTAAACAATCTCTCCCTCTCTTTAAACCGACTTAAATCTCGTTATTATACATTTTCATCGTCATTATTATCAAAGCATTTGCTCTAATTGGATTCAATGATGTTTCAATCTGATTTCATCGGCTATTTTCAATTTGACTCGACAAATGAACACTTTTACCTCTCACTTAGTCACTCATTTTATTATACATTTGGCTCATTATTTGGTCAATGTAAATATTATATCATAGTGAACACTCTTCACTCTCTGTTTTATTGTGTGTTTAAAACAAACATCGAAATTAATAGCCCAAGGGCTCTCTCTTTATAAATGTCCATTTTCTTCGAATAAAGGTTAATGCATAAAAGTTATTCTCATTGTTATCACCAGTCACTTGGGTGACCAAAGGAAATTTGAGATGAGCAAAGGAAGGTAAATAAAATAATAACCGTAAAAAGAATGCTAATAATCATAATAATAAAGTAACTTCTATTTGAATATAAAAAAGCGACTTTCAAACCAATATTAGACCAGTTAATAATGATCAATAGTGAAAACTTTGAAGCAACTATTATTTCCGCAATTTACAGTCTATTCAGTCATCGTTTTTCATTTTGATCCTTCAAATTAGTTGCCTTTTGTCAAATTGTAAACGTTAATTGAAGAATCAAAAGTTAGCTTCATTATTAACATTAAACTATTGTTTTGCTACATGTTACATTTCATCACAAAACATTTCCTTCTTTCATGATATTTTGTGACAAATTTTTCAATTTCAGGACAAACCTGTTAATACAACGTCAACATTGAACAATTAAAACACTAAATTCATCTTTTATTGCTAAACAATTGAAGGAAAAGCAAAATTTCATCCAAAGTTTCAACTCAAAGTACAAAAATAAAGTCAAAATTGAACATTTTGTTGCAAAGGTTTAGAGTAAAGATTCATTTGTTGCTATTTGACTTTCAATTTTTTAATTAATAGAGTTTTACTTTCTGTTTCCAACATTCAAAACTGGAAAGAAGTGACAATATTTAAAAGATTTGCAGACTTTTTGCTCTGAAGAAACACAAGTTTGATCTCATTAAAGTCAATAGCAAGTACTTGTGATATTCATAAATATCTTAAGCTATTCAAAGTGGTGGTTCTGGTTGAAGTAAAGTCTGTCATGAAGAGAGATTCTGCAGTCAAATAATAGAAATAAATGTTGAACAGGAAAGCAAACTAAAGGTGAAAATGGTCACTTTTTGGTGCCTCTTTTTGTGTCCATGAAAAATTACTTGAGGGATTTTATTGAAAAGTAAAGATCACCTAATAGAGCATTTAACAAGAGCAACATTAGCAAACACTGTAAATAGAGTAAACATTAGCAAGAGAAATTTTTGTATAGTTTTGTCTTCAATGAAATGAAACTTGTAATAAATCTGAAATTATCATCATCCAAAGTTGAGGATAACAAAGCAAACATTTAGCTTTTAGCTTGAAACATTTTCATGCCAATAGGCCCACCAATTGGTATGATAATACAATAAGAAGAGAAGGAAAAAGTTTGAAGACAATTAAATAAGCTGAGACGAGATAAAAGCCAAATTGTCACAGTTTTACCTTTCACAAGTTTATCCAAGTTAATAATTCAAGAATCACTTGAAGTAATCAGCAATCTTTTCCTTTACCACATGTAATTCAGTTGATTACAAAGATCTGTAACTAGAAGTGTATCCATATCTGCTTATGAATAAACTCTAACTATCACTTTGCTTGTTTCACTCCCAATAACAGTTGCTGGGAGTATATCAAAAAATATATGTATTCACATATAAATAGTTACTCCAAGTCTAACTTGAAATAACAACAAAAACCAAATGATAACAAGTTTCAATGTTGCCTGATAGACTGTAATCAGTTACAACTGATAATTAGATTTGTAGCTCAACTTTTTTTTCACATTACAAGTAGCGGTAATAATAATGAAGTCATGATGAAATAGAGATGAGAGAAACAGATTCTCTGCTTTATCATTTTTTTCCTCTTCAAATATTTTTTGCCATTTTTGCCTCTTCTTTTTTTTGTCATCATCATCCTATTATCGCTGTTTCAAGCCAACATGATCATTTCTTGATGAGACGTCGCTCATCATCACTGCTAATTTACGAAGACGAAACTTTGTACATTTATACTTTTCTTTTCTCGTCAATTTTCGTTTCCACATGGCCTGACCTATCAACCTAATTGAATGTGAAATTCAATTTATGCAAACACCATGTTTCTTTCAACAATTATGACGATCATGAATAATGATTACAAATTGGAAAATCTTTTTTCTCTCTTTCTTGGTTCTTTTGTTTTTGCAAGGTGAACCCGGGATCAATGTTGAAATTTAATTTTATCAAAAATTCCCTATGAATTATGAACTTTTGATAAACTTTTTGCAACTTAAGAGTTTCGAGTTTCTTTACCGTTTCTATGGAAATTTTCAAAACTTTTCTTTTGTGAGAGAAAAATTTGAGTTATTTTTCCATTCCATTTGTTATTGTGTTCAATTAGGACGAAATTTTGTCGTTACTTTTCTTGATTGGAAAAATTTCAACAATTTATTGGGCAAAAATTTCGTGTCCAACAATAGTGAAAATCAGTTGAAAGAAAACATTTTTTTCAGGGATTTTTTTATTGATAATATTGTCGAATGTCGATATTATATTGAAAAATTTTCACTCTGATTAGTTTATCGAATGTGAAAATGCTCTAACTTCTCATTCAATTTACTCTTCAACATGATAAGATGATAAAGGTTTATTATTGAATGTAAAACATTGTTGAATCGTTGATAACTCTTAACCAAAAACTCATGTTGCTATTATTATTGTCATTCATTCCATGACTTTATTGATATGAAAAGAGAAATACTTTTGTCTTGAAGTTCTTTTTCTTTCTTTTTCGCATTCTATTTGACACAAAATTCACTTTACTCGAACCAATTCAACGTTTTTTCCCTTCTTTCTTTCTCTTCTTATCATTCATTTCATTCTTTACTCCCAGTGCAAATGGTAATAATAATATCAAATGATAATAATAAAATGATTTTCTTTGCTCAAACCAAAATTTCTTCAATCATTCATCTTGAATTTACATAACAAATACATTACACACTGGTTTACCTTTGCAAGATCATCTATCGAGCTGATAATAGATTGTGTCTGTAAAAGACAGAGAAGATTGTTGGAAATAAAATTGAGCCAATAATTACCAGAACCTTGATCAAAGCTTGAACATGAGTCAAATGATTGATTTTATATACTTTGTTTATTCCTCTTCAATCTTGACTACATATGAATGTGCAATAAGTCTGAACAAAGTTCAATCTTTCAGAATCACTAGTTTTCAATATTTAATCATTTCAATCTGGTAACTTTTGTTACGAATCATTGATACGATTTTTAATCTTTGTGTTTTCAATTTTACAGATTTTATTAATCTATCATTGATATGGACTTAAAAACGAAGCAATCCTTTTGAAGTCGATTTCGAGCAATTCATCGACAAGTCGAGCCTTTCTATTGTTTTTTCGTTTTATTTTTGCTCTCTGAGTACTAGAGTCTAAAGCAACCTAGAATGAGAGTTGCTTAGGTCAACTTTAACTATGCAGTTGAACTTGATGTAAGCAAATTTTCTTAAGATATTTTGCACGATTCTACGAATTATTGATATAGTTCGTCATCTTCGCATTTTCAATTTTTAACAGAATCTTTTCCTGGTTCATGATTAATTCTAGCTAAATAAAAAAAGTCATTTTGAGATTGATTTTCACAGTTAAATTAGCAAAGTACGAACTTTTCAATTTTTTGTAATTTTTGTTTTTACGCCCAACTGTTAGTCTAATGGCTAAGTTGAAAGCAACCTAGAACTGTAACTGCTTAGGTCAACTTTGACTAGGCAGTTAGACCTGTAGTAAGCAACTTCGCGTAAAGTATTTTGCAAGATTTTGTAGGATTTTATTGCAGGGACTTAATGGTAAATTTCGGAATATTTTTCTATTTATATTTTGTTTGAAATGAAATGTCGAAATTCCAGACAATCGACTTGTCATGGGTTCAGAAAGATACAAAAAAATGAAATAATCAAAATCACTCTTGATTGGGTGCAAAAAGATCACTTTGAGATTGAGATTTTCATGCTCAGTCAAGCGGTATGATTACACTTGTGCATCGGATAAGATTAAATACACTTTGAATAAGATGATGATGATGATGCTCAAGAGGCTTTTGGTGAAAGCTAACCACATCGATCATCTTGTTAACTTTTATTTCACCACTTTTTTCCACCTCTTTTTTACTCTATCCTCTATTCCAGAATAAATATTTGATACGATTAACCAGATATAATGAATAGACTAAAAAAGTTTGTCTCTTCTGTCAAGACCACTTTGCTTCATCAAATATTAATTGACATTCCAATATTGTCCATTCAAACAGATTTGTCTTCTATCACTTCACGATCCAATCAACAAATTGGTAAACTGTTAAATCTGAAAAGTTATCAAAACTCGATTCAACATTTTGCCTTATTGCAACTGTTAACCTCCCTTAAGTGCTGGGAGTGAAAAGTGAAAAATAATTTTTCACCTTTTTTCTCAGTTTCCTTATTCATTTGAAAGAAAAAGAAAAAAAATTCGATAATTGAGACAAAACTAATTCTAATTAAATGTAATTCAATTTGTTGTTTCCATATTAACTTTTCACATGGACTTTTTTTATTCTGCTTTCATGCTTTCTTGATTGTGTTTGACTGTTGTCTTTTTGTGTATAAAAATAAAATTGAACCTAAATTAATCTAATTGTGATGAAAACAGAAGAAAACGAGACAAGAGAATAGTTTTGTTTCATTGATTTTTTCAACAAGAAAAAAACTTTCAATATTATCATTATTATTCATCTCATTAAAAATCTTTAACTCTAATGAGTACAACCCTGACTTTGTTGAAGTGAACTAAAGAGAGAAATTTTTTGTTCTCTTTCAATTCACATCAAAGTTCATCTGGAATCAACTTTTAATGAGAAGGACAGGAAAGGTGAAAAATTGAAATGAACCCTTTTGTTTGAGCTTAAGAAGTCAATTTGAGGTTCATCATTCATTATATTGTCCTATGAAGATGATAGGTTGAAAAGAAGAGCAAAGTTTACCTTGAAATTGATGAAAGGTTGAGAGTGAAAGTTGACGAATCGAGTTGAATCAGATAAGAAACTGAGATGAATACAAAAAGTGAAAAAAAAGTGAAACATTTTCATTGCAAGATGAGTTCGATAAGATGACAAAAAGAGTAACTCATGAAAAGCAATAATGATACAAGTTGATTAACTTTGAATTCATCATTTTTTTCCTTTCATTGTCAAGCTCAATATTTTCAAAACTTTTTTCATTCTCTTTCGCTTTCTTTTGGAGAAAAAAGTTTCAAACTTTTCTCAATCCTTGCTAATCATCAACTCAATCAGTCAACATTCAAGTCATTTTCTAGTTTAAGGCTTTATCAATTAGAATCGGCAAAATTGTTTGGACAATTGAATGATTATTGAAATTCAAGAATTCACTCCCAGTGAGAAAGGGAATGATAATTTGAAACTTTGAGTCAATTGTGCAAAATAATTTGCTTATACACTTTACTTGTTGGCTCTTGCGATCATCAATATTTTAATTGATTATTTTGACGTTTTCTCATTATTTTCATTATCATTTACTTCAAGGTTCAATCAATCACTGAAAATTGAGCTGTTCAATGTGTTTGGGTTATAATGAAAGGTTGCAATTTCAATTATCTTTTACACTCATCTTCAATATTATCATCTATCATATTTATCATTACAGTAACTTTTTTTCAATCGATTCACAATTGGCATTTCCAATTTACTGATTAACTGATTAAACCAGTCAACAAGGTTGATCAATGTTGGAAGAAGCTTGGGAAAAATGAAGAAAACAAAAATTTCATCTCAACATATCTGTTAACTGTCAATGACTTTCAATCTTTTGTTGGGCCACTTTTTTTCCTTGGACATGTACAAACACACAAAACTTTATTCTTCCCCTGCAATATGTATATAAAGTAAACTGGCAAAAGAACCAACAATAAGACTAAAAAATAAAGAGTGAAGAGTGAAACATATTTAGAAGGTATTTATCATGGACAAACAAAAGTGTTCAATTATTTTCTCATAAAAGTGTCACTCAGGAGTGAGAAGGAAAATTATCAATAAATGAGTTAATCAATTGTTAAATATCATCAGCCAGCACAGAAAAGGACGTCAACATTTGCTTATTACAAGGGAAGAGACAAGTTTATCCAATAACTCCAAGACAAGACTAGAGCAAGCATCAAAGTAAACGAATGAAGCAAATCGTTTGGAATTGGAATAATTTTTGAAATGCAAAACTAGAATTACCTTTGACTGCAAAGACTCTACTAATCTTTACATTTTTAATTCATTTTACTCATGATTTTGCAGAAGGAACGATCAAATTATACTCGAATTATCCTTCTCAAGGTAAACAATGAAACTAGCGGAAACTTTGTCTGTGAAGTTTCAGTTGATATAACATTTACCACTGCAATGAGAGAGCAATTGATGTTCATCAAAAGTAAGTTCATTTTTCGATTAAAGTTTGACTTTTTTTTATTTGATTTCACTTCTTTTGTCAAACAAAAAGTGTTCATCTTTTACCATTAAATTGTTATGATTGAAAATTTGGAAACCAACAGAAGCAAGTTGAACATTTTGAAAGCAAATGAAAAAGAGAAATGATAAATTATTCAAAGTTAAATGCAACAATCAATAAAAATTAACGGTAAACAATAGACTCTATTCAACTTTTAGTTTGCTCAAATTCAACTCACAACTTTACCCTGACAAGAAACGGAAAGATGGTGAAATAGGAAGAAGAGGAAAAGATGCTTTCATTCAATATTTACTTTTCAGTGGTTTAATAGTTAACTAATGTTAACAATTGAGACTGAATTGAGCGCAAATTTAGCTAATTATAACATTAAACATTGTTCAGTTATCAAATTAATTTTCATGGACAATAAATTGTTTACTCAATGAATTGAGAAACGACAGAAAAAATAAACATGAAAACACAAAGCAAAAAGTGACAAAACTTTAAACATTAATTTATTCAACATTTAATTCCGTTTTTTTGTTTTCTCTTTACTTCTTTGTCTCTCCAATTACAGGTAGTTCATTAGGACAATTGTTTCACTGGCCTCTACTCATGGTTATATTAACATTGATCAATCTAATTATACAAAATTGTTACCAATTAACTTTTAATTAAAAAAGAATAAAAAGAAAAAAGAAAAATGAAGAAAAATTTAATTTCAATTTTTACTCGTCAACCAAGAGAATGGCGTAAAAGAGCAACAAAAAAATCGAGCAACTTTTCAATAACATGGAAAACTGTGACTTGGAAAAAAAGCAATGAATGAAACAAATTAAATGAGCAAATTATCTAATTAGATGGGTTAATCGTGTTCATTGAGTTTGATGAACACGAATAAATACATTTGAATATTAAGATTAACTTGAAGATGGGATAAGGTATTGCCATTTGAATAAATTAATGGAAATGACTTTTTATTACAATTGTTCAACTTTATGGTGTAGGTTAAAGGATATTGAATCTGTTAATGCAAATATAATGAAATATTTATCAGTTAATAATAATAATGGCATTACTGTTATTAATAAACAGTAACTGGCAAGGAAAATGTTATCAACTAATCGAATAATAAATCAAATTAATGCTAATTGAACATGTTTAACAGTTGCAGTTTATTAGCACAATTAGCAAGGGAAAAGGAAACATTAACTTTGATTTAAACATTTCTTTTCACCTTTTGTAATATTATTGTTGCCGTTTTCAGCTTTTGTTTTTTCCCTCAAAATTGAAATACAAAATTGATTCAGTAAATATTGAAATCTCTTGGATAATCAGCGTCAAGTTTGTTTACTCAACTCATTGATAATTGTTGTTCACGGTGGCAATGATGACAGGAGTGGGATTTGGACTCACCTTGCGGCAAAGTGATGACAGTGAGCATTTGACAGGTTGAATGGTGAACACTGGTAGCAACAAAATTGCACTCGAGTTGCCTCCCAGTAAAGCATATTGTTTCAATATTTGATAATCATTGTTTACAGAATCAACCTTTATCTATATTTGGCTTTTCATAATATTCAAAAGTTTGGAAAATTCAATTTTCCATTTTGTTGGCCTTTTCTTGTTTTCACCATTTGTGTACATATGAATACATGAATGAATTGATGGACAAATTTGATAAATTGTTCATTGTTTTTGGTGTCATTTTGTCCAGATACAACTGTGTGATAATTTATCAACATAATGGTCAACATTGGTAAAACTTTTTTTTCTCTTCTTCTCTCCATGAATTTCTTTTTCCATTTTCACGGTAATTTCAGTGCCATTCGAGGATTGCATTTTGGCTTAATAAATTGTTATTGATTCTTTCGCGTTCATCATTCCAACTTTTGAAACAACTTTCTTCTTCTTCTAAAAATGAAAAGTTTGCTTTTCAAAACTTTTGTTTCACAAGAAAATGCTAAACGGAAATTTAAACCATTTGCTTACACATCATCATTATCATTATATGGATATTGCCATGTTTTTGTATTACCTTTTGCATTACATAAATCACCTTGACCCATCATGAGAATCACATAGGATTCTCATGTTGCTGAATCTTACATGAACTTTTTTTTCCTTCTTTTTATCTTATTCATCTTCTTTTACACAACTTTTGTACTCAACTTTTATCCAACTCATCGCATAGATGATAATCAATCTTGTTTGACATTCACTCTGTTTTTACCTGTCCATTTGGTTATCAGTTAATATTAACATGTCTTTGATTTATATTCAACTGTTGAAGTTGTCACATTTTCTTGTATTGAATAATTGAATGGAAAAATGGATTTAATTGAAACCATCATCAATTTATTGGGTTAATTTGAAAGTTGCTTTTGCTGGTTACATTTATATCTTTTTGCTAATCTTTAGAATCCAATTGTTCCGAATGTCGCCTTTCAAGTAAACTATAGTATCCAAAGTTGAACGTGATCAGCTTTTATTTTGTAAGTGCATTAAATTTAGGTTTACATTCATTGTTGGTTTACCTTTTACTCTGTTTCTTGACCCTCTTTCAGGGTTTTGTTTACATTTGAACAAGTTAAATGTTACATGATGTTTGTTGATTATTAAATTATCTCATTTTATTGGGATGGATAGACTTTCGATGATTCAATGATTAAAGGTTAATGTCAACAGCGCGATAAAACTGCAATTCAATTGTGTCAATTTTATTTGTTAACAATATAAAATTGCCATTCGACAAAAGCTTTCGACTTGCCTTGTAATTTGACTTTTTTGTTTTTTCTTCATCTGGATCTTCTGCTGACAAGGACCCTTGTATTTTTAAATTGTTTAGCTTTGACTTGGATGAATATGCTCAATTTAAATAAAGCATTTGACAGATCAGAAAGTTTTGCATAATAATTCAATTCGAAGTAAATCTATTTCTTAAATTATTTTTAGCAAATGAAATAATCGCAATCAATTTCAGTTTCAATTGTTTTCACGCAAGTAAACTTAAACAAGTGCAGTCAGGTTAACTTGAAACTTCATTTTTACTCGACATATAATGTTGATACAAAAGATAATCAGACCAGAGGAGTATAGTTGGTCAACTTTTCAAGCTTTACACTTAGAACTCAAGTCACTTCGAATCCATGAAAAATGTTCGTTTGTTGAGATGAAGATCTGAGGGACATCTAGTGTCATCGAATTCAACTGAGCTGTTCTATTCTTGGAAAAAGGTGATATTTTGAATTTAAGTTTTTGCCTTTGTCGATAGTCTTACTGAGTACTAGTCAACATAGCACTGTTAATCATCTGATCAAAAAGTGTTAATCATTTTCATCTCGCGTCTAAATTAATCAACTGTTGAATTCCCACTATTCGAGAGAGTTTATGTGGAAGTCCATAGAAAAGGTCAATATTGAGTTTGAGCTGAACATTACAATCATTCTCGTTTGTTTAGAACCGAGTTGCATATGAACACCACCAACATTCAAAAGAGGAAAACCGGGCTGACTGTAAAAGACACAGAGCTTTCAAAACAACAAAACCCAGCGTTCAAAATGGCCAAACCTACTTTCATGAGACAAAAACTCTCGAGTTAAAGAGTTAATTTATTCAGAGTATGCAAAGAGGATTATCACTAATTTTTCCAATGAACTTCCATTGAAGATGGTAAATCACAATTAACAAGTCAAAATTTATCAAAATGTTAGCTTATATTCCAAGATTCCTCAGAAAAGAAGCAATTAACAATTAGAGAAACAGTCTACACCATGAATAAAGATGCTTCTTTAACTCGAGAGTTTTTGTCTTATGAAAATGAGTTTTGGTCATTTGAACGCGGTTTTGTTGTTATGAAAACTCTTTGACTTTACAGTCAGCCGTTTTACTCTTTTGAATTCTGGTTTTGTTCATATGAAAGTTGGTTCTAAACAAACGAGAATGATTGTATTAAATGAAGGAGAACAATGATTTGAGTAATTTATTTAATCTAATTGATACATCAGTTAATCATTTATACAAATCAAGCAGTCTGGGAATCACAATAAGTTTTAGTGTGTTTGGAAATTTAGTCGTACATTGTCGTGTATTTAATCTAATTCAACGAATCTTTGAGTCATACATTGGATAAACATTTGTCAATCGCTTTCCCGACAAAACTGTCTTTACGTCGGTGACAAAGTACCATCTATTGTACGCTGGATAATGTGAAAACGGTTTATTCAACTTCAATGGTCTATTGCGTTTAGATTCCCGAAGCAATTCAATGATATAAACTAAACACGAAAGGATCAAAAGAAACGCAAGCAGATGAATCAAATCTTGAATTGTAATGAATGCAATGGGATGATACAAGACTGGATAACTTTTAATTTGCTTATAACTTTCGCATTGAGCATTTGTTTTATAAAATGTAATTCTTTTCGCAGCCACTTTACTGAATGCTCTGTCAAACGCATTAAAACAATAGCCCATCTCAAGACACGAATAGGCTGCTCGTTGAAGGAATCGTTTTTTATGCTTCTCAATATGCTTATAATAAGCCATAAAATGTAAAGTATCAAAATAATGGCGATTCACATCATTAACATAAAAGTTTGTACTTTTCTTGACGTTAGTCATTAAATTGCAAAATACTTTGGTCGAAGTTTTGAGAGTACGTGATGAATCAAAAGCAACGATTCTCTCGTCAGATAAATGATCATAGAGGTAATTAACAGGTTTATCAGCTCCAATCAGATGAAAACGCTGAGCTAAAAATGAGTCTTCCTTGCTCTTAAGAGCGCAGTACAAATTATCGACCGCAACCACGCGTTGAGTTGACTTTTTAAGATCATCCAAGTCGTTTATGGGTGGAGCTCGAGATGCTATTGAATAATTGGTCGCAAAGGAAGAGGATAATAACTTAGAGACGCAAAAGATGGCCAAATAACAAGTGGCCAAGATTATGAATCCAAATCGTCCATTGATTAGCTGACTTGTTGTACCCTTGAAAGGCCAAGGCAAACTTTTCTCACGAACTGAATAAATAAGTGCTCCAATGACGAACAAGAGGCCAACTAGAATATAAACATTGAGTTCAATTACTTGAAAACTGGTCAATATTCCTGGATACTTTGATTTAACCGATTTATCCGTGTAAAGGTTTAAAAAAGCGCAGTTTTCATTGCCCATTACTGAGGTAAAACTCATGTTTTCTGGAATCAATAAATAATCGTCCATTGATTCGGGTGGAAATGAAGCATCATTGAGACCAGATTGAATTGATTGGAGGAATGGTGTAGAGCAAATTGGTGAATGACAATGACCATGTTGTTCGTGTCCACCATTTATCCATTCAAATGGTACTTCACCAATAATAATTGATGCATAGTTTTTCATTGTATCAAATACGGCTTCATCTATTCCGGCAGATGAGCTATGATGGATCAATCTAAAGGATACGTTGGAGTTAAAATCCAATGACATTGCTGGGCATCTGAGTTTTAATAGAAGAAAATGTTGGGTTGTTAAAGTTAACACAATCTCAATGAAAAATTTTCATTGATTGAATAGCTTTTTATCGACAGAACTTTCAGGAGAGCCAAGAATAATGTCTAATTGGTCTATATCTCATAAATAAATGATTTACTCCTCATTTCTCAATGTAACAAAAAACAATTCTGAACTGATTTAGTATTTAGTATTGAATA